CGGGGGGGTTTGTAAGTGCCCGGCAGTTTCTGGCCTTTCAAACTTCATGCTGCAAACGCGGAGTGCGTCAGGTTGAAAATATGCGTGGGTAGAGGGCGTTGCTGAAAGTATAAGTGCGATATCAAGTGGCTAAATGGTAAAGCTGCTAAATGAGGGGAAAAAAATAAGAAAAAAACCCCACAACCTCATCCCTCTTCTCATTCCTTCTCGTAAAATTTATTTCTCCATGCTCAGTTTTCTCGGTTCCATGTAGATTATGGAAGAAGAAATGACAAAATGTTGACTACTACGGCAAATCCTTCACATACAGCAGTTTTTAAGTTCAGTGCCCTTAATAAGAATACCCAACTTCCCCAAGTCCAGCAATTTTAGCAACAGTTCTCTTGGCTTGACATGTCATTCATTACTTTTAGATGGTAGGAAAAAAAGTTTTGGAGAGGCCTCGGTAAGATGGCATCCTTTCTTTCTCTAAACCTTCCATCCTCTAGACACATACGAAGAGACAGTCTTTCAGAGGCTTCGCAAAGTTTAGCTGAGGTGTAACGTTTTCCAGGTTTGCATATTCAACAAATATTAAACACAACAGAAATATAGCAGGGATTATATTTACATTATTGCGGTGGCTGATGACCTTGCAGTGTTTCTAGTAACATGTTTGTCGCTGAGACTGCACAGTAAAGTGAGGCTACTTGTTACATGGAAAAAATGCAGCAGCTTAAGGGGTCTGACCGTAAGTCTTTCAAGCTCAAAGGCATTGTTTTTATAGGGGTGGTGTAACTGAAACTCAAAAATGAAGGGGCAGCAGCATTTGGCCTCTAGTTTCAAATGGAAAAAAAAAATCAATTCATTACAAACATGTAACTTTTCATAAAACGCCCCAGTGGTACAGCAGCATCTGAGGTCAGGGTACTGTATAACCGGGAGGCTGGGCCGCTGTTGTGAAGGGAGCAGAAGAGCCTGCAACTCAGAGGTTGTATCTGTGCTGGAGTGATTATAGGATATAGTGATTATATAGCACAGCATGAGCTAAACGATTGTTAGTATGCAGATGTATTCACATAGAGTTCCCATAACAAGGTCTAACTATATCTTCCAGTCTAGTTTAAATCACCAAATCTGAGTTTAAACCAGATTAGCAGCCAGAATGTGTCTTCCTTCCAGCCCCACTAAAAAACATTTACTGTGTTGACCTTTCTGGTAGCCTTCCTTGCTTCTCACTCCCCTAAAAAAATAGGAAGCTGCAGGAGTAGTCATTTGTTATCCTTTTTTCCCTAACATGTTCTTTCTCCTGTTTTCTCTATGAGTATGCAAGCCTGAATTCCAGGAGGACGACTACGAGTTAAAGCATGAATGCTTCAGAGCACTGAAAATTAGAATGGGATGAAAAGTATTCCTAACTGCTAATTTCTGAGCTTAACAGACACGACTCTTGGCCAAAAAGCCAGTACCTGGCTCCAAGATCGAAAAAAGAGACATTAATAAGACTAAGAAAGAAGAATTCAATACCTTTCATTCCCCCACAAAGACCAGTGCATTTTCTGTGTTTGAAGAACCTTACAAATTTTTAAGAGAGTTGAAACAGGGTTTGCAATACCTCTGTAGCTGCCTAGCACTGTGTAACTTTTCCTGAGCTGGAAGAAACTTTCTATCTTGATGAGAAAAACTTACCTTAGGACATTATAAAACATCTCATTGATGTCTTATACATACTTGGTCATTGCCAAAACACATACAGAGGTAATAATTAAGTGTGCATTCATCCTAAAAGTAACAGTAAATAATTCTCTTGAGCCTGTGATAGGTGTTAACATGTCACATACAATTATAGTGGGAATGTGTGTGTGTGTGTGGGGGGGGAAGAGTAGGTCTTGCTCTTTTTTGAGATTAGTGTGGGAGAGTATCTGGTTATATTAAGGAGGCCTTTGCCTTTACTTCCTATAGTAGCTTAAATGGAAGTATTCAGTGTTGCAGAAGAGAGAAGAGGTTTTTTTAGAAAGGAAAAAAGTCATACATAAAAGTATTTTATAGGAGGCTTTCCCATTTAGTGACCAGTAGTCTTGTCTCTGAGTGCTCTTGAGTCTGAACAAATGCTGTTCAGCATTCGCTGGAGAAGTGTCACAAAGATTGAAATGTAGTGGGACAAATGTTACATGCTAGTGCCTTGACTTTCCTTCCTGAGGCTGTTCAGCAAAGTATGTTTCCATTATGTTCCTGATAAAGTTTTCACAATTTCTACATTTCTGTGGTGTTAAAGGTGGATATCATTTTTTACTTCAGGTATTTTAGGTACTTGCGGAGATTGACCACGCCACAGTGATACAGGTCTACTGCTCCTCACGCTATGTTGCAGTTTCATATGATTGCCTTGTGTCAAATAATGGCTTGTCAAATACCACACAGTCTTTCAGCGCAGCATGGCACTAATGCTAGAAATATTTACAGCTGTTAATAATTTTTCTTACAAAAGTTGCAAGTTGGTTTTGCATGTAAGGTTTGCAAGTTTTTTATTTAATTTTGCTACTCCTCAATACAAAATGAAACAGGCAAAGATATGCATGTTTGTCCCCCTGTGCTAACTACTGCAAGTGTTCGCAGTGTGCTGCAAGAGTAATCCTGTCTCTGGTCTGGCCCTGGGAGAATAGTGCTGTTGTCATAGTCACATTTTAAGATAGTATCAGTATGTTACATAAGTAGTTTTTGTAAACAACACAAGGAGAGAAACAGAGACCGTCACAATCTTTTTGATTTCACGTAGTTATTATCAAAGATTCTGTCAAATATGCTAAGTGCTGTATTAAAAGTAACTTAAAGTGTATTTTTTTAAACAAATAAATTTCTTTTGTGTCTTTCAGAGTATCTGCTGACTAGTGTCAAAGATTTAATTGCTGTTTACTTTTGCTCATCCTCAGGCCAGCAGAGTTGAGGAAATTGCCAGTGTTTCTTCTTGTAAAGAAAGCGTCAATGAATTGTATACATGCAGATTGCTAAATGGAATGGGATTACATGGGTATTATTGAGGGTCTAACTGAGTTAGCTACAACTCAGTACTGTGTGAGAAAGACCCTAATATCAGAATTGAGACTGAGTTTGTAGCACTGGAATAAGAGAAATGCAAAATCAACATACTTTTAAAACTTAACTCATTCAATGAGGCATCCTTAAAAGGGAGTATTGGTTGACCTTTTCTATTAGTTTACATTGGAAGTGTAAAGAACGCTTTCTTGTTGGACTAAATGCATTCTTCTTAATGAAAAAATCATATTTTACTTTGATATTGAATTACCTTCTCTGCTTCTATCTGCAAGGCTTGCATGGTATTGTTATAACAGGCAATGGCATTCCTTTGTTTCTAATACAAATAGTATAGTTTTTTCTTTCGTTTTTGTTTTCTTCCCCTTTTCAGGTAGCAAAGTCTGGGGGGGGAAGCAGGGCTTATCTGTTCTTTAATGACTAAACTATGGAAACCAAAGTTAATAATTATACTGCTGTGGCTACTGTGTTTCTGACATAGGTCTATGGGTTACATGTTTTTCTTTTACACATACCAGTCATTTTGACAATGTCATCCAATTTAAATGTATTTAAAAATACATTCTGGAAGCAGTTGCCTGAAGTATCAGCTCCTAGTTCTTTTTTATAGTTATTTATTAACAGGACCCATTTTCTCTAGTCAGTGAATGATCTGTTACTCCACACAGAGCATCCTTTCTAGCTGTCTGTTTTCTGTCGTGGTAGATATTTCACGTTTGCCAAATCACTGTGGCAAAACTTAATATAGTTATATAAAGTGCGTAGGCCTGCCTCTCCAGTGTGACTGGTGATCTTAATTATCTGTTTCAGAATACCTGATTTGAAACACTTGAACATGAAGACCAGTTTTAAAGTTGTGTGACTTTTTAAAAATTTGGCTCTTTTTCTTTTCTGTCTAAATTGGCAATTGTAATAATAATTTTTATTACACAAACACATTTTCACAACAATTCTAACAGAGACTTTCAACCTTGAATTGCATTTAGTCTTAATTGTCAATCAAGAAAAAGAAGATCAGTGCTGTCAAATAGAGGAAACCTTCCTTCTAGATGACATTCAGAAACATTTTGCTGCCCTGTCAGTTAAAAAGTTTCATCCTCTATGTTTACCAATGTGATAAGGTAATAATTTACTAGAACTTATTTCAATGAAACAAAATCACTGAAGGGAAGAGAAAGGGATCTTATCTTTTTAAATTGCTTAGCGATGTGTAGAGACTCATTCCTCGAATCTGTAAGTTTTTTTCAGGTCACTTATTTATTATGCAGGCATGCTTTTTGCTTCACGAAGCTTCTGTTGCCTTGGCATTAGAACATACCAACTACGAACAGATTTGCTTTACAGATCCATCAAACTTTCAGCCTCTGCAGTAAGTATTCCTTCAGCTTCATAGATAAAACTATTTTGTGCAATATTTGAGAGACGCACTGATTTTACAATGTTGCCAATATATATGCATTAGCTGTGTTTTCTTTATTTCGTTACATTGATCCAAACATTTACTATCAAGAACAAAATAAGATATTTGAATCAGTCAAATATTTAACCACACTAGCATAACAGAATTTGGTGATTATTGCTTTGTGTATCCTTTCAAGTCTTTAATCATAGAATCATAGAATAGTTTGGGTTGGAAGGGACCTCTGAAGGTCATCTAGTCCGACCCCCCTGCCGTGGGCAGGGACATCTTCCACTAGATCAGGTTGCTCAGAGCCCCGTCCAACCTGACCTGGAATGTTTCCAGGGATGGGGCATCCACCACCTCTCTGGGCAACCTGTGTCAGTGTTTCACCACCCTCAGCGTAAAAAATTTCTTCCTTCTATCTAGTCTAAAGCTACCCCCCTTCAGTT